GTGGCTTTCTGCTGATGTCGATATGTAAATAAGTTACTTCCACTTGTTAGGATTTATGGTGCATCTGTTACTATTTTCATTTCCTAGATCCACTATATACTTGCTTTGTGATTTTGGACAAAGTTGTATAACTTTTCTATGCCTCATTTTCCTAATTTGTAAGATGTGGTTAATAATAGTACAGTAGTCCTTCCTTATCCACAGGACTCCCAAGATACTTGAAGTCTCAGATAGTACCAAACCCTATATATATATATTTTTCTACATATATACACTTATGATAAAGTTTAATTTATGAATTAGGCACAGTAAGAGATTAACAATAACTAATAGGATAGAACAATTTAAAAAATATACTGTAATAGGCTGGGGTGGGGGCTCACGCCTGTAATCCCAGAACTTTGGGAGGCCAAGGCAGGCAGATCACGAGGTCAGGAGATCGAGACCATCCTGGCTAACACGGTGAAACCAAGTCTCTACTAAAAATACAAAATAATAGCCGAGTGTGGTGGCGCATGCCTTTAGTTCCAGCTACTTGGGAGGCTGAGGCGGGAGAATGTCGTGAACCCGGCAGGCAGAGCTTGTAGTGAGCTGAGATCACACCACTGCACTACAGCCTGGGTGACAGAGTGAGACTCTGTCTCAAAAAAAAAAAAGAAAAAAAAAATATATATATATACACACACACACACATATACTGTAATAAAAATGATGTGAATGTGGTCTTTCTCTCTCTGTTTCTCAAGATAACATAACAATATTTTGGGGCCACAGTTGGCGGGTAACTGAAACTGCGATTAAGTGGGGACTACTGTACATGAGTGTGTGTGTGTGTTATTTCCCAGCTCTGACCACTAGAGGGCCTAGAAGCACCAGCACCTACTAGCAATGGGCCTATCAGTCAGTGCCCATGGTCTGTAAATATCATTCTCCCATGAAAGGAACTAGGGCTTCCAGGAAAAATAGCTGATCCAGGGCTGGGACAGAAAAGCACAAGAGGAGCCCGAAGCTTCTTGTGGTGTCAGAAACGAAGGAACTGCTCAAAAAATGATGGAGACATGTCTAAAGGTCATGGAAGCCAACTAGAAGGAGTTCCCAGTGGCCAATTTTGGGACAATATGAGCAACATAATAAATAATGGTAGTAATGGATTCCAACCCATAAATACTCATGAGTCCATGCTGATATAAATAAATAACTGAACAAAAAATAAGGAAGAAAAGGCTGGGCATGGTGACTCACGCCTGTAATCCCAGCACTTTGGGAGGCGGAAGTGGGGGAATCACTTGAGGCCAGGAATTAGAGACCAGCCTGGCTAACATGACAAAACCCCGTCTCTACTAAAAATACAAAAATTAGCCGGGTGTGGTGGTGTGTGCCTGTAGTCTCAGCTACTCAAGAGGCTGAGGTGGGAGGATCGCTTGAGCCCAGAAGGTGGAGGTTGCAGTGAGCCGAGATCACACCACTGCATTCCAGCCTAGGCAACAGAGTGAGACTCTATCTCAAAAAAAAAAAAAAAAAAAAAAAAGGAAAAGAAAGAAAGAAAAAGAAATAACTCTTTCTTATGGCAGAATTCCGACTAAACAAATGTAGAAGGAACAATGGAAATAGAAAATCACTATTTGGCCAATACCACAGTAATAATTCTTTGTAGGAAACAATCATCCATAGATTCTAAAAATTAATGTTAAAAGTATGATGATGCTGTTAACTGGTGAACAACAAGAAAAAAAGTATGATGAGAAGAAACAGGCTGTTTACATATTTCCAAAGTGTCTCTCCACAAGATACTTATTAATTACAATGAGACAAATAGTAACTTTCCAGTAGAGAAACCTGGCAGACACCACCTGAACCAAGTGCTTAAAGTGAACCCCATCAGTAATGAGAGATACCGATATCCTGGGGCTCTTGCTGGGATGTCCAGAGAAGGATACATCACTTCTGAAGTATTCTTGCCTAAAATGCGTAGCCAGAAATATCAGACAAACCCATATTCAGGGGGCATTCTACAAAACAACTGGCTAGAACTCTTCAAAAGTGTCAAGGTCCTGAAAGAGAGGGAAAGACTGAGAAACTATCCCAGGTTGGAGGAGACCTAGGAGATCTGACATTTTATTCAGTGGGATCCCGGATTGGAGTCTGGAGCAGAAAAAGGACATGAGTGGGATGATTAGCAAGATTTGAACATTTGTAGATTAGTTAATATTACGGTATCAATGCTAATCTCCTGGTTTTGATAATTGTATTATGGTTACGTAAGATATTGTTTGAAAACAATTGGATGAAGGCTATACTGGAACTCTATTTTTATAATATTTTTCAAAGTCTGAAAAATGAAAAGTAAGAAAAAGAAAGAAATGCATTAGATTTGTGAGGACAAATGAGATAATAAGTGTGAAGTGCTTAGAACAATGCTTGTGATATAGGAGTTCTTAATGTGTCTGATATAAGTAATTTTATAATTAAATAATATTACAATTAATGAATAATCTGTTATTATAAGTAATTTATTTCCTAATGACCTCATATATTCTCACTTATTTTTATTTCCCTTAACCCTGCGAAAAGCATATTGAGCATGTATGTGATTAAGAGATAAAATAAGATTAGACTTTATTCTGAGATTTATTTTGGGGATGGAGGAGCTATTATTTCCTTTAGCCACTAAGTAGCTCAGACTCAGGCCTACATTGCAAAACTTCGCTTGGCTGGGAAACAAGGCTTGGGCCTGGCTGCCACCCCCGCGACGTGGTTTGTGATGGCGCCTCCTGGTGGCGCAGGGAGCTTTCCCCAGTTCCTCACCCTCGTCCTTTAGGAGCGACTTAGAAATTTTACTCAGTCTATTTATTAAACCCTTTCTAGGTCACACTGCAGATCATTTAATCTTCACAAGTGTGTGTGACAAGTGGCATTTTTTTCATTTTAAGATGATAAAACTGAAACTCAAAAAAGTGAGGCGACTTGTCTAGGGTTGCAAAGTGTGTGGCAGAGTCAAGATCTAGGTCCCCCTGACTTCCAGGCTGAGTGTAAAGGTCTAGGTGAGTCTAAAAGTGTGGCCATGCAGAGAACTATTGGTGTAGAGCAGTGGTTGTTGACCAAGGGTGGTTCCCCCTCCGGGGACATTTGGTGATGTCTGGAGATATTTTTGGCTTCCATAATGGGTTTGGATGAGGGAGAGGGAAGGCTGCTGTTGGCGTGTAGTGGAGAGAGGCCACGCGGATGCTGCTGAACATCTCACAGTGCACAGAACAGCCCCCACTGCAAGGAACTGTTCAGCCCAAATGTCAGTAGAGCTGCTATGAAGCCCTGGTTTGATTTAGAAACCTGAGGATGCATTCTTGAGGTTAGCTAATGTTTGCTGAGTACTGAGCTGAATAGCGTGAGGGATATGGAAACAGTGCACCAGTCCGTGCCACCAAGTAGTTTGCAGCCGACGCAGGGGGTAGAGGCAGGAAAGGCACATGAAGGCCCCTCAATATAAGGCAGCAGATGATAAGTGCAAGAAGAGAGTGTCCAGCAGGGCTAAGCTTGCTCTCAGGAGGGAGACCACATGTCTGGCTGTGGGAGGAACTGAAGGAAGCTGTGGAAGGTGGTTTTCAGTTGGGAGTCTGAGCAAAGTTGAGCTGATGGGAAAACACAATACGTGTTCAGCGAAAGGCAAACAGGTTAGTTTGGGTGGAGAATAGTATTTTTTAGTGAGTAGAGGGAGGTACACTGGAAAAACAGGTTGGGGCTAGAACTTTGAGTCCAGGTAGAGGACTGTAGCGTGGGTGTCTGTCATAGTGATGGAAAAGTCTTCCCTTTTGGAATAGTGGTCTAGGCCCTAGGGCTATGGGGCTTAGCAGCTTCCAGAACACTCTCTCTACAAAGGAAGGGATGTTGGAAATTGGAGTGGAGAAGGGAGAATGCCTCCTGATTTTAGGACCAAGTTGGTGCTGAGTATGCAGCAAAGCCATTTCACCTCAAAGTGGCCTTTGGGGAGATGGTGCTCACAAGCAGAAATATACATGGGGGTCAGGTCTGTTCTTCGTGGTTGCTCTGTGAAGGGCTGGGCCACTTTATAGTGAAAGCTGGAGCAGATTTGGAACCCCTAAGCTAAGGTCTGCTTCCCAAAATGTGAGCTGTTACAGCAGGGCTTGCTACGGATAAAACTTCAAATATGGACACTACCTGGTGACAGGCTTTTTCTAGTTTATTTCATTACCAGTAAATAGCATTAAGACATGTTGGTGGCATTCCGGTGCACTGTAAAGAATATAAGCAAGGACTTCGTGATCTTCTATAAAGGTACCATTGCCTTCAACACTCTCCCACCACCATCATTAAGTTTAGCCAGGATAATTATGTTACTCTTTTGGAAAAGGGTTGGGGGAGAAGACATGGGAGCAAATCTTTGTTGAGCTAGTATATATATACATACATACATACCTGTGTGTGTGAGGGGGATCAGCTACAATTACAGATATTTTCTTTTTTTTTTTTCTTTTTTATTTTTGAGACGGAGTCTCGCTCTGTAACTCAGGCTGGAGTACAGTGGTACCATCTTGGCTCACTGCAGCCTTTGCCTCCCGGGTTCCAGCAATTCTCCAGGCTCAGCCTCCTGAGTAGCTGGGACTACAGGTGCGTGCTACTACGCCTGGCTAATTTTTTGTATTTTTCGTAGAGATGGAGTTTCACCGTGTTAGCCAGGATAGTCTCAATCTCCTGACCTTGTGATCCACCCGCCTTGGCCTCCCAAAGTGCTGGGATTACAGGCATGAACCACTGCGCCCGACCAGTTGCAGATATTTTCACATACAATATCTCATTTAACTCTGTCAACATCGTTTGGGTGTAAGTACAGTTTGCTGTTTTTTGTAAAGGAGGAAACTGGCATTGAGAAAGGCTCACTCACCCCAACACCCCACAGCTAAGAGAAGCTGCATTTTGATGTGTCTGTGGCCTGTTTTGCCACATTTCCTCCCCTCATTTTCCCCTTCATAGACAGTCTTGTTTACCTGGATTCAGGCTGCTAGAGACCATGGACATCAGCATCAATGGCAGCAACAGGAGGAAGGAAGAGATTAGAACTTTCATTGCAACGGTTGGTGCAGCTGTTAAGTTGCTTGAAGAGTATAATGGAAGGTTCCCTGTTGGAGGCTGCTGATCTCTGGGGATGACTCAGGTCAGGGTACTCAGCCTGGCGGTCTATGCTTTAGTCCCAGGCCAGCGTTCCCATTTGAGGGCGAGAACAGGTGAGGTGACGCTGTTTTGCTCTTAGGTAACAGATTAGACCATGTGCTTTATGGGAATCTGGGAGGTGAAACTGGTCAAACAAAAGAAATGCAGCATTCTTAAGAACATAAGAAGGTGACTGATAACTTGGCAGCCGTGCCAGTTCTCTCCTGTACTCTTTCCCGCCTCCTCACACCCCAGTGCCTCATGATTTCTTCCTCAAACCTTTTTTTCTTGCTTGGATTTCCTTATACCTTTCAGTGACCCTCCCTATCTGAATATTTGACAGGAAAGTGGCTGCTAAGTGTTGGTAGGCAAGACTTTGACAAGGTCTCTTTCCCCTCCTGCTCCCATCCTTTTAAAAATATCAGCAATAGTAGTGTTGTTGCCTGGGAAGTTGCCCTGTCCTCTCTCTGTTCACAATTCCCTTCAATTCTGTAGCCACATAAGGTAGCAGCAGAGCAGGATCTGGGACAAAAGGCAGCTCCCCTACCCAGAACACCGCCCTGGAGCAGTGGGTGACACCAGGCCTCCTTGTGTGTCCAGCAGGAAGGTGGCCATGGCTTAGCTGTTCTGGTCTAAAGGAGAGGGAACTGGGTTGGGGGAAGAGACCCCCAGAGCTGCAGGTCCCAGAGGGTTTGAGAAACAGGAGCCACAGAAGGGAAGGAGCCCTGAAGGGTGTTTGCCCAGCTGCTCGGGCGCCTGGCTCCAGTACTTCTTTGGAAATGGCCCCAGGTCAAAGAAGAAAGGTAATAATACTCGAAGTAAATATTAGGGGCATAGAATATCAGCACTCACTAAACTTGACATTTATTTGAGACTTTAGGAAATGTGCGCAAAGGGAGAGGAGAGGCTGGGTTTGAATGCTGGGTGATATTCATGGGGGCTGAAGGGAAGGCAAACAAGGGAGCCCTCCCTGGAAGCCTCCAGGCAGGAGTGAGAGCAGGGGGTGTGACTTTGTTTCCCTGAGAGGAGGAAAGAGGAAAGGCATGAGTCAAAGCCCTTTGCTTTTGTTTGACCATTCTTTTTTCTCCACGTTTTCAAATTATCTCGGCCTGTTGACTTGTCACAGAGTTGATTGTGGACTTTGCTACTGCGGTGTTTATAAAGCACTGCAGGGGCCAGGGACTGCTAGGACTGAGCCTGTGTCCAAGTTGAAGGCTCAGGCTGGGCCTAAGCTTGTTCTGATGCAAATCACGGATGTGGCTTCCTTCTGGAAAATTATAAAAATGGTCTCTGCTTTCAGGAGGCTCAAGTCTAACCAGGGAGATGACATCCATTTCATAAAGCCTAGAGATATGAGTGCAGTCATCTCTCCAAGTGGCAAGAGTGCAGGGGGACTGAGAGGGACTTGGTCGGGCGGAACTTGAGCTGGAGATGGGGGAGGATTTGGGTTGGTGGAGGGCAGAGAGGAGGGCCGTGCAGAGCAGGGGTGTGTTGTAGGAGAGGTGCCCCCTGGAGCTCAGTGGATGGGGATCCTAGAGGACAGGAGCTGTTTGTGTTCATTTTTGTATTGCCTGAACTTACACAGGGTCTGGCACTTTGGGAGTATTCTATCAATGACTGTTGAATGGAATGATAGTTTTGTAGCCCATTAACTGGGCCTGATGTATTAAAAAGTGTGTGAATGGCCGGGCGCGGTGCCTCAAGCCTGTAATCCCAGCACTTTGGGAGGCCGAGACGGGTGGATCACGAGGTCAGGAGATTGAGACCATCCTGGCTAACACGGTGAAACCCTGTCTCTACTAAAAAATACAAAAAAAAAACCTAGCCAGGCGAGGTGGCGGGTGCTCATAGTCCCAGCTACTCGGGAGGCTGACGCAGGAGAATGGCATGAACCCGGGAGGCAGAGCTTGCAGTGAGCTGAGATGCGGCCACTGTACTCCAGCCTGGGCGACAGAGCGAGACTCCGTCTCAAAAAAAAAAAAAAAAAAAAGTGTGTGAAAATGCAGCCCATTGGCCGGGCGCGGTGGCTCAAGCCTGTAATCCCAGCACTTTGGGAAGTCGAGACGGGTGGATCACGAGGTCAGGAGATCGAGACTATCCTGGCTAACCCGGTGAAACCCCGTCTCTACTAAAAAATACAAAAAACTAGCCGGGCGAGGTGGCGGGCGCCTGTAGTCCCAGCTACTCGGGAGGCTGAGGCAGGAGAATGGCGTCAACCCGGGAGGCGGAGCTTGCAGTGAGCTGAGATCCGGCCACTGCACTCCAGCCTGGCCGACAGAGCGAGACTCCGTCTCAAAAAAAAAAAAAAAAAAAAAAAAAAAAAAAAAAAAAAAAAAAAAAAGAAAATGCAGCCCATTAGCAGAAAGAAACTGTTACTGAAAAACCATCCCATGTACAAATGGAGCCTGTTGCGGCCACTTTACTTGTGCTGCTGAGTTCTGCATCAATCCACACCGAGGCCACTGCAGGGGCCGGGAGCTCCTCCTCAGACCTTCCTCCGGGTGTCTCAGTCTCTTTACCCACTGTCCTCCCAGGTCCTGCTCCCTGTCAGTTCACTCCATCTGGTTTCCCCTCCATGCACTTGGGATGGGTGTTGCATCCTGTGTCCCATTGGAGGGGGCTTTGGGTTCATTAGGTCTATTAATATAAAACACCCCCAAGACAAATGGACGTTTTTCTTGTTAACATGACAACTTCTTTTTTTTTTTTTTTTGAGACGGAGTCTCGCTCTGTCGCCCAGGCTGGAGTGCAGTGGCCGGATCTCAGCTCACTGCAAGCTCCGCCTCCCAGGTTTACGCCATTCTCCTGCCTCAGCCTCCCGAGTAACTGGGACTACAGGCGCCCGCCACCTCGCCCGGCTAGTTTTTTGTATTTTTTAGTAGAGACGGGGTTTCACCATGTTAGCCAGGATGGTCTCGATCTCCTGACCTCGTGATCCACCCGTCTCGGCCTCCCAAAGTGCTGGGATTACAGGCTTGAGCCACCGCGCCCGGCCGACAACTTCTTATAACACATCTCAAGAACATTATTTGTATCAAGAGTCTCTCTGATGTAGAGAGGCCCGCCCTTCCCCAGGAAGGAGGTAAGGGGAAGTTGGGAGAAAACACCGTCCTGTGTGGGTTACTTATTTCCCTGTTGTACAGTGTGTACTTGGTAGACGTTCAAAAATATTTGTTGACTTTGACCATGATCCACATGGCTCGCATATAGTCATTTATTCACACATACATTCAGTGAGGCTTTGAGCGCCTAGTGTGCGCCTGGTATTTGCTAGACGGTGGAGGCTGAGATCAGGTGTGTGCTGCTTTCTCTGAGGAGCTCTCACTATACAGCTGCACCTAGGGTGACTGAATCTACCTGCCCCACTTTACAGACGTGGAAATTAAAGTTCAGGGAAATTATAGGATTAGTTCAACAACACAGTCACTAACCTCAAAGTTAAGGGAGTAAATCAAGTTTCCTGACTTGCTGGATTTTCTGTTAGTGTGCAGCCACCTGGCTGCTGCAGGTGCAGATGTGGTGAGCTCCAATGGGAGAGAGGACGTTCAGAGGGAAGTGGGAGCCCTGAGCACCCTGGATTAGCCAGGAGGACATGCCGGGTGGAGCTGTGACCACACAAAAGACCATCAAGGAAATTTGCATTCTCTTTTTCGCTTTGAGCTTGAAATGAAGAAAACTGATTCCAGGAAACCAAGAGTGGAAGATTACTCACAGGGGATTAGTGAGATGAGTCAAAAAGCCTGTGTTGGATGGGTGCCTGTAATCCCAGCATGTTGGGAGGCTGAGGTGGGAGGATGGCTTGGGCCCAGGAGTTTGAGACCAGTGTGGGCAACATGGTGAGACCCTGTCTCTATAAAAAGGTTTTTTTTTTTTTTTTAAAGAAAACCCTTTTCTGATGTCTGTCACAGTGTTTCTCACTGAATGGTAATGGTCTGACTTTGAGTGGGTTCTGTCCATAGCCTGGAGCTCTGTGAGGCAGGACCAGGTGTGATTTCACCTTTGTCTCTCCAGTGACAGTACACAGCAGGCTCTGATAAATATTTCTTACAAAATAAAACTGAATAAAAAGTAGACACCTGCACACATGTGGGATGATTGAGCAGCAGTAGAAGCAGGGAAAGTCAGCGTCCCCAGATCAACTGATGTGGCGTTCAGCTTCTAGATAGGGGTGAAGTGCCAGGATGGGGATGGGGGTCCTGTGGCTTTACTGCTCTGGGGACCACCCCGAGGATTTGGAGTGTCAGCTGTGGTTGCTGCACTTCACTTACCTGTGGGAAAGTGAGCAGAGGATGTGGGGCTTCAGGTGAACCCACATGGGAAATGGCCGAGGGAAGACGGGGTAGGTGGCACATAGAGGTTGTTTTTTATTTTTTTATTTTTATTTTTGAGAAGAAGTTTCATTCTTGTTGCCCAGGCTGGAGTGCAATGGCACAATCTTGGCTCACGGCAACCTCCGCTTCCTGGGTCCAAGCGATTCTCCTGCTTCAGCCTCCCGAGTAGCTGGGATTACAGGCATGCACCACCATGCCTGGCTATTTGTTTTTTTTTTGTGTGTGTGTGTTTTTAGTAGAGACAGGGTTTCTCCATGTTGGTCAGGCTGGTCTCGAACTCCCGACCTCAGGTGATCCGCCCACCTTGGCCTCCCAAAGTGCTGGGATTACAGGTGTGAGCCACCGTGCCCGGCCGAGGTTGTTTAGCAATATTTGAAGGTCGGTTGTATGAAAAAGTGTTAGACTTGGCTGGGCGTGGTGGCTCATGCCTGTAGTCTCAATACTTTGGGAGGCAGAGGCAGGCAGACCACCTGAGGTCAGGAGTTTGAGACCAGCCTGGCCAACATGGTGAAACCACGTCTCTACTAAAAATACAAAAATTAGCTGGGTGCAGGAGTGGGCACCTGTAATCCCAGGCTGCTGGGGAGGCTGAGGCAGGAAAATTGCGTGAACCCAGGAGGGGGAGGTTGCATTCAGCCGAGATGGTGCTACCGCACTCCATCCTGGGCGATAGAACCATACTCTGTCTCAAAAAAAAAAAAAAAAAAAAAAGGAAAAGAGAAAATGTTAGTGTCACGCGTGTCCATGTGAAGAGATCACCAAGCAGGCTTTGTGTGAGCAATAAAGCTTTTAATCACCTGGG